AGTATGGGTTGGGTAGATCAGGAACTTAGCTTGAGTGAGGTAGAGGGAGGGATACCTCCCAGATGTAGAGAACTATAGTAGTTTGCAGACCTATGATTGTTGGTTATTTTAGATGGTATGTAGAGTGCGGTAACCAAATCTCCTTTTCGCATCACAAGTGGGTGAGGGAGTATCCCAACATTAAGGTTTGTGAGGTGGTTGAGAGAAGAGGTGACTCCTTATCTTGGAATATCTCATTGCCATATGTGAGGCTAAACAACACAATCTTTGCTCAATGGTGTGCGTTAATGGAATTACTGGAAACAATCTATATTTCACCAAATGCGGAGGATCAAATGGTATGGGAGATTGATAGTGATGGTATCTTCATGGTTAAATCTTGCTACAATCGTCTTTTTCATGATTGGTGGAGATGGTCTTGCCTTCAGATTGCTCAAATCTGGAAATGGCCCATACTTCACAAAGTGCAAGCCTTTATTTGGCTGGTTGCTATGAATAAGGTCTTAACAATTGACAACCTGATTAAAAGGGGTAAGATTCTACCAAATGTTTGTTTGCTATGTATAGCTGATGGTGAATGTGGTGCATTACTCTTCATACATTGCTCTTTTACAGTCCAAATTTGGTATTGGTTGTTTGGGGTGGTCAATGTTAGTTTGGCCCTACCCCTGACGGTGGAGGGTATTGTTATTCAACTCTCCTTACCTCATCTGCCGAAGGTTGGTAATACTTTGTGGAAGATTGCTAAAAGAGTTATTCTTTGGGAAGTTTGGAAAGAGAGAAACAGGAGAACTTTCGAAGGAGTTTCTCTACCCTTGGATTGTCTGATTCATTTCATTAAGTTTTCGATATGGTCGTGGCTTTCTGTCTCAAAAGTGGGATAGGGTGCGACTAAGATTGATGTATCTGCTAACCTCAACAATATTTCTCAGTTGGGTGCCATTAGGAGTAGACCTAAAAGCTTGTGGATGGCGCCTCTTGTGGGTACGTTGAAAGTCAATTTTGATGGAAGTTCTCTTGGTAATCCAAGAATAGCTGGTATTGGTGGCATTTTGAGAGATTGTTATGGTAATACCCTTTTTTCATATGCTAGGCCGATACGGTGTGCAACAGCAAATTTTGCTGAACTGCGTGCATTCTATCAAGATTTGAAGATTTTTAGAGAGAGAAACTACGACCATACATGCTGAATAGAGTGGGACTCTCTTAATGTGGTTAAGTGGTGCAATAAGGAACAACTTATTCCTTGGAAACTAAGACCTCTCTGGTTACATATCACGGATTTGTCTTCTACCTTTACGATCTCTTTCACTCATGTTTACCGAGAAGCAAACTCGGTAGCGGACAGTCTGGCCACGGGGGGTGCCTTTTTATCTTCTCTTGTTATCTCTGATAATGTAATAACGTTCCCATAGCATTAATAATAATATTAACATCTGTCAAAAAAACAATATATATGTATATATATATGGAAAAGTCTTCCCAACACCTATAGGCAAAAATGAACAGTGATTTCGCCTACCCTCATCATTGTCCAAAGTTCATCGCATGGTCATGATTGTCCGGTAGTGTTTTATTTTTCATTTTTTTGTCAACAAATCGGAATGATCTGAAATTTGGAGTGTGTGTACATCTTAGTGAGGCGCACCTAATAAAAATATAAAAAAGAAAAATTCTAGGAAAAAAATTGACCCAAATACCCCCAAAAAGTTTTGGGGGTACTTTGGTCAATTTTTTCATGTAAAATATTTTTTTGATATTTTTAGTAGATTCGCCTATTTTTTATGAACAAGTCTATTTTTGATGAACACACACTCTAAATTTCAGGTCATTCCGATTTGTAAAAAAAAAAATGAAAAATGAAATACTACCGGACAATCATGACCGTGCGATGAACTTTGGACGGTGATGAGGGTAGGCGAAATCACTGTTCATTTTCGCCTATAAGCGTTTTGTAGTATCTTCCTACACACGCACACACACACATATATATATATATATATGTGTGTGTGTGTGTGTGTGTGTGTGTGTGTGTGTGTGTGTGTGTGTGAAGTTCTACAGTACTTCGCCTGCAGCTTTATCACCGTTTAAAGTTTATCACACGGTCACAGATGTCTGATAGTGTTTGAATTATAATATTTTGTTTACAAATCATAATGATCTGAAATTTGTACATGTGTGCGCTTTAGTGAGATG